CACCTTGTTATCTCAGATTCTCCAGCATCTGCAGTTCCTACTATCTCAGTCATGAGTCCAAATGGCCTGCTCCTGCCCCTTGTGTGAGAATATCCTTCATTTATGTACTCACTGTCTGAACCATCAGCACAGTGGTTGCAGTGTGTACTGGGCACAAGATGCACTGCAGCAATTTGTCAAGGCTCCTTTGACATGACCCTTCAAACCCATGATCTTTACCATCTGGAAGGAAAAGGGCAGCAGACACATGAAAACACAGCTGCAAGTTCCTCTCTAAGTCATACATCATCTGGAGCTGAAAAGATGTTTGTTCACTGGTCAAGTTCAGTGAATTGCCTACATAACAGTATTAAAGGAGTATTATATAGTACCACGCACACAGCAGGTACACAAGCAGATAGTGCACCATCACTACCTCAAAGGCAATTGAATGTGACAATAAATACTAATTTTGTTGACAATTCTCAAATTCCATGAACGAATTAACGAACACAAACAACAGCAGGGGTTGGTCATGTGCAACAGCAGACTTAAAGCTAATATCTTTGTGCAACAGAAATTTATATTTCAGATGTTCAATGTGAACTAGCAAAGTACCTCAACACAATTATTAACTGTACCCATATTAAATGTGGGTCTGCACTGAGTATTCCCCATGACTAGTTTCAAAGTCAAAACCTTCATGTACTAGATCATGTTCAGATGTGAATACCATTGTAGATTTTGCATTTATAGGTTTTAGTCTACGCTAAAGCCGCCTTTGGAAGATGGACATAATTAAGCTTTGCTCCCAGCATTTCAGCGTTGCTGATTCAAGTGTGGCAATTACCTGAAATTCTTTACATGGTCCTCTACTCCAGTCAGTCGAATGGCATGTTGTAAGGCATTCAAATAAGTCAAAGCCTGTGTGGAGGAACCCCAATTCACATCTACAGAAGAAATATTTTGTGTTATCATATTTAAGATACTTGCATATATTACACTATTACAATGTACATTACTCTCATAGCTTCAAGCATGCAGGCAAGTTCTAGACAAGAAAATGCAGAAAGCAGTTAGGGTCTTTTCCACACATCTATTTCATTACATGACAATAATTTACCACTTGGCTTCGAGAACAGTGTCTTATGCTTTTCTACAAAAAGCCTTTTCATCTCAGCCACATGTTTCTGCATTGAAGGTTGACTTCTTACTTTATTTGCAATGCAAGATTCCTTGACAAATACCTTGATGGTGAGATGGATGCTGGGTGAGTTGATAACAAGCGCAGGGAGATGTGTCTCAATACAGCTCTTCACCCCACCTCTCTAATGGTCAGAATCATTCCACTCGGAGTGGACCAATGGTATTAGCTGCCATGCATGCTGCATGACAATAAACTCTCCTGACAATTTGGTCAGGCTTGCAATCACCAAAATGTGGAAACCTAAGTGAAAACTTGATTGTAACATTAAAGATGTTGCAGGACATTGACAGGCTGGGTAAGAGGAATCTTCCTGTTGTAGGAGAATCAAGAACTATGGATCGCCGTTTAAAAATAAGAGGTCATCCATTTAAAAACAGAGGTGATCAATTTGTTTCGAGAGCTGTGAACCTTGATATCAATTGAGACCAGTACAGAGATTCAACTAGCAGCTGGGTAGGATGGTTGACTCTCTACCTTCCTGCCCAGAACTCGATTCTGAAAGAGGCAATGAGTCCACTTACACCACTGTTCCACCGAGTGAAGTGTCATGCCCACCTCCGAAGCTCACTGCACAAGGGAGAATAAAAGATTCCATCCTGATCTATTCTGTATCACAGAGCTTTCATGATCAGGGGTCATTCTCCAGCTTAGCGAAAAATGACAACAATGAGGGAATGAGGGAACAGCGACAGTGAGGAGTACCAAGAGAGAAGTAAAAGGCAGCAGTGGAGGTGTGGTTTCTGGAGTCCAGGATATCTTAGGCAATATAATTCCCCTCCTTCCTTAGTTTTATCCAAACCTTTGAAACAAAATCTACCCAAGTAATGATAAGTGATGACCAAAGACTAAACACAGAACTTTTGGATACAGCAGTAAAGGTTTTGAACTGCTCTTTATATTTTTTGGCAGATCAAATACCTAGGAGTTATGTGGTCTCAATTACTGACATGGTCTGTGGATTCAAGGTTCTTTGGGATCTGCTAGAAGCAAACAGAATATGGAGATCATCATTTCTGAAATTCTTTATAAAATCACAAAACCAAGGCTGCGGAGAGAATCAGCACATTGAAGCGACTACACAGCCATAGGACACCTGGCAAAGATTTAGCTCTTGCAAATGAAAATTATTACTTTGTCTGCTTTTGGCATCATTTAGTGAGTTGCTAGGTAAAAGCTAACAAATAAGGGATTTATTTTTCATCTCGGAAATACAAAAGGTCCGAATCATAGCAATTGCCTAAAGAGGAACTGTACTTTCCGGTTTCAACTTATTTAATATACATTTAAAATCATATTGGACAAATACTATGCCTATCATTTAAAGGGAAAATAATCCAAAGATTAAAGAACGGAAGCCTCATTTCCTGAAAAGTTTGAAACAACTGAGTTATATAACAATTTTTCCCCCCATTGATGCATAATTATTACAATAACGGTATTAAGGGCTGGAAAGGGTGAATAGCGGATAAGGAACTGCGAGAGAGAATTTGTACATTTTATTTCCTCCCCAAGTAAACAAAGCGGCATTCTGGTTTATGTCTGAATAGGCTATGTTTGACAGCGGCCATAAAAGAAACGAAGCAACTAAGGGGAATAGGTTTTCTTTTAAGAATAACACAACACGTACTAGTTGCAATATCAATTTGTCAAGTTACAAACTAATGATTCCAGTTTCTTTGCAAAGTAAATTCTATCACAATTGGCAACAAAATCTTTTCTATTTTAAACAGGCTTATCTACAACTACAAAACAAAAAGTTAAAAAGTGATTCAAAGAGCCTCAATTTTAAATTACAAAACAAGTCTGATTATAGTTAAACTGAGAAAGGAACTTACTTAAACACTTACATCAATGCATGTACACTCCATTTACAATTTATGAAACAAAGGTAAAGTATCAATAACGAATACAAGGGCAAAACAAAAGAACAATTTGTATGATACACTAGATCTGACATTTAAAATTATGCTCAAAATGCTCAGTGCTGCAGTTCATAGATAATCCTGCAGGCAAAATACTTCAATCAAGTCTTCCAAATTATCACAACCACATTGTGGTTTGCGGATGCCTAAATGCTCTGTTCCTGTTTCAACAATTATTGTCAGTTTAACTTTATCCTCCTGGGTCTAGTACAAGTTTTATTTTTAAGAAAGATCATACATGCACAAGAGTGTAAGGGTGTAGTCTGCACAGCTCTATTCGCATGGACTCAAATCAGCAATTCTAACATAGGATTGCTAGAATAAGAATCAATTTTGACAAAATCAATTCCACAAGAATGCAACTATACATTCTTTATACCCTATCTCCCCTTTATTTTTTTTTGTACAATTCTTTAGCATTCCAACTTATTTCTGGCACACAGCCAAGATCCTGCGCAACTCAGCCCCAGCTCTCTGCCTGATCCCCATCTTTGCTCTAAGTCTCGACACACAATCTTAGTGAGTTCAGTCCGATGGCTTTCCTACAGTTGAAAGCTCCTGTTTCTTTCATACACCTTGCCTCTCCTACCCCAATCCAGAATGGCAACATGACTTGCCCCTTGACTCATTGGAACTCAGCTCCTATATCTATACCGTTGCTGTGTTTTGTGAGGACGTACAAAACTTGCATGACAGAATTAAACAAAGAATTTGAATAGCAATGTACAATAGATAAATCACAAGAAAATCAATGAGTAAAAGCAACAGTTTTTTAAAAAAAAAGTACACGAGACAAAACAAAAAGCAATGTTATGAAAGACAGATACACACAACAGGAGGCACACAATTGTTACTCACTTACTGAAAGAGGAAGAGAATTTCATCATTCAGAAAGCCCCACAACCAGATTATCCCAGCTACACTTTCACCGTGCTCAGAGAAAACAGTTAAAAATAACCTTAGCATTTTTGTTCAACTAGCTTTCTCCATTTCAATTACATACTGTTCTCAACTTTACATTGTCTTCAGAGTGGTGAAAATGGGCCGGTCTCAGTCACTCCAACTCTTCTCAAGCCATTATTGTGCAGTCGCAGCTTGAAATGCTCCTAAAATTCAGCTTGAGCAATGTACTTGGCACACTTTTCTTTCTTCCACCCGCAAAAATTCTATTTACCATCTTCTTTCTCCACCATACAAGACATTCAAAATGCATTTTTTAAAAATATAAGAACACTGTGTAACCACCAATTTTCGAATTGATTCAAATTATTTGCCCAACATTGGAGAAAGGTAACACAAAAAGGGTCCGATGATCCTTCTTCAGAACTAGACAAAACATTAACTCGGCTTTCTTTCTACAAATGCTACCAGAACCGCAGAGTTTCTCCAGAAATTTCTGTTTCTATTTCAGATTTCCAGCATCCTTTTGTTTTACAGAATAGAAATTTCTATTAAGTCTCGCTATAAGAATCTTGCCTGGAAGAGCACACAGTGGGGTCTGCATCAAGGTGGTGCATCTACAAAAGGTATTAAAGTTGTTGGAGGCCTAGGCCTCCCGAGGCCTAATCCAGAGGCTTAGGCTAATGCTCAGCAAACAGGTTCCAATCCCATCAAGATAGCTGGCAGAATCTGAATTCAATTAATAAATGATTCTAGTGACCACAAAACTCATCTGATTCACCAATGTCCTGAAGGGAAGGAAATCTGCTGACCATGCTTTGTCCAGCCTCCAAGCGGCTCCATACCAACAGATTGGTTCGACTTTTAACCTGCCCTCTGAGATGGCCTTGAATGCCATTTTCGTTGCAACAATTAGGGATGGGCAACAAGTGGTCTGCCAGCAACACACGCGTCCCGTGAATTTTTTTTTAAGGGAAGGAAGATATAGACACGGAGATGTTTAATCTTGGACAGCAAATGACATGTCTGTTGATTAGATAATTTTCATGTACCATCCAGGATGCATATCAGTATCGCGTGGTACCAGGCATTTCATTCAAACTGAAGACAGACAAGCACTAGTGGAAAATGGGTTACAGGGCAGGTGTAAACTTATACTGTGGCAACATTTACCTCTTCTTATCTAGAGAAGAAGAGAGGCTGCACTAAGCTGAACCAAGCTTGTAAAACCTTGGTATCTAATAGGACCTCAAGACAATAGAAGCTGCCAACCTCAAATGAATATCAATAGATGGCCTTAAAATGATGTCAGCAGTGAGGCACCAGGTCAAGAAATAAATCTGACCTAATCTTTCAGATGTACTGATGCGAATTTATGTTTCAGCAGGCCTTATCCATTGATAACAGGGAGGTTAAGAAGATCCAAAGACTTTTGTACCACATTGTTCATCTGCAATATAGGAAATCTTTGATGATTTGGTAGAATGCTCAAAATCCAAATTGATACGGTGATAACTGATCAAGAATAGCTTTATACAGAAGATGAAAACGGAGGACAAAATGAGCAGCTATTTACCATCACAACTAGCAGTTCACAATGATTTTACTTAAGTGATAATCTGGATTTAGTATTGCAGACAGAATGCAATACGAGTTGAGTGGAAGCTAATGAAGAACAGGACTCCAATGAATTTTGATTTTAACTGCAGTCCAGCTACTTTAAAGGAATCTGAGAATTTTATGCACTTTTGCACAGTACCCAGTTTTCTCATCTTCAATTACAAGCTATATCAAGTTACCTGGTTACCACTAGCAGTCATCCAACAGTCTGTAAATTATTGATTAGTTTGACAGCCTAGAAACAAGAAATTAGACAAAAGGATCTGGAAATCTTTGGAAGATTTAATCCTAGCAGAAGACACAACCTGACATCTGAAACCCACAGCCACAGAAAAGTTACTGATGAAGGTTAAGTCACAATGACATAGTTACCGTGTCTAGAACCTATCTGCAGATAGCAGCTAAAGATAAGCTCACTTTTTCAGTCAGACTTTTCTTTAAAAGAAAGGTTGAACAAAGGATTCCTGAATAAAGATCCAATACTGAAAATTTGTCATCCACAAGAGAATTCCAGAAAAAATTACAAATTTAGCTCACATTTTAAGAAATATAAAGGATAACCCAGAAAAGTGCACCAAATCAAAACCTAAAGCTAAAATCCCGTTTATTTGTATAGATTTATTTCAATTACACTTTGAAAACTGTTCATTTTATCGCATGTAAGATCACATGATGTGAGATACAGGAGAGAATTTCTATGCAAGAGTGACAGCTGGAGTGCAATAGATGACCATTTTTTTCCAAAACTATTGTTTAAACTACAATGTACACTTGAAACAGCATTACAACAGTTCCCTAGCATGATGTCTGATGACAGGTAATGGTTCAGCAAAATTAACTGACTTACAGGAACACACGAACAGGAATAGGCCATTCAACCCCTCTAGCCTGTTTTACCATTCAGTAGGGTCATGGCTCATTCAACATTCCTCAAGTCGCTTCATTCCCTAAAGAAGAATCTTTTAGCCTTAAATATACACAAGAACTCTGCTGTCACAACTCTCTGTGGCAAGGTGTTTCAAAGACTCTCAACTCTGACAGAAGAAATTCCTTATCTCAGTTTTAAATTGACACCGCTTTATTCTAAGGCCATGCTCTCTGGCACTAGACTCTTCAATGAGCAGAAAATATCCTCTATTTTTGTTTACGCTGTCAAACCCTTGCAGAATCCTATACGTTCCAGTGAGATCACCCCTCATTATTCTAAACTCCAGAGAAGTCGAGTCCCAACCTGTCTAGGCCTTTGCTCATGAAGGCAATCTCTCCATACCAGGGATCATCCTCATGAACCTTCTCTGAACTGCCTCCAATGAAATGATATCCTTACAAGACAGAAATTATGTCTTCCTGCTATGTACTGCTTCTCCTGCTGGAGTTATCAGGAGAGATTTAGACTTCATAGTCAATCTGAAAGGTAAACACTAAATGCAGAGTAACAACACATGAATTAGCACAAGAAATTGAAAATCTTGTTCACACCTTCTCGGAGTTACCTTACCTGGTTTCTTGTAGGTGACATAAATATATAAAGCAAGGACAATGACATTTGTCAATAGTGCTGCCCACCAATTGATGACGAACATTACCCCACAGCACAAGATAGCACCAATTAATGAAATCCACATGTTATACCATCTGAAGGCAGGTCGCCAACCTAAGTACAGAAGGAAGGAAGAGATCATTAAAGTACAGCTACATTGCAAGGCTTTGAGATGCAAAATTACATAGATCCTTAAGATCTGTGAAAGAGTATTAGCTGCAGGCACAACACAGTATGAATGCGTGCCATATAGTTTGGGCAAAGTAAATCTCTCAGATTGTAATCAAATTGAAAATGACAAATATTTCTCATGAAACAAGATCATTCACAAGTTTTCTAGGATGGTCTTAGTTCAATGCTAGTAATTGATGAATAAAAGTTGATTGAGCGCAGTTGGCAACTGGCAGGTGTATGGGAGACCAATTGAAAAGGCCAAACCAAAACAATTTTGTGGGAACAGAAAACAAATGATAGTGTTTGTTTTTTCCCCCCTAAGTGGAGAGGCAGAAAGAGAAGAAATGATTACATCTCCAGAGAACCATTGCCAAGAGATCAGCAGACATTTTATCATCCAATAGCTGAAAATGCTACTAGCCAGTTTAAAATACAAAAAAAAACTGCTTTTGTATGAATACCCTTCCCAATGGGCAGACAAATACACCCCCCACCACCCACACATATTCCAAACACAAGTAAACAAGTACACTCAAAATACAAAGTTGAATTCAGCCAGGCATATTTCTTCTGTTAACTGGATTCTTACCTGGAGATTTAGCAAGAGAAGCATGGAATACTGAGAAATTAATCAAAGCATATGAGGCCAGGAAAAAATTGGAAATGATTGGCGCAATGACATTCAACTCAGCTGTAAAATAAACACACAAAATAAACAGCAGGAAAAAAAATGACAATTGCAAATTACCTTAGCTATTCCCAGACCAACTAACCATTTAAAAGCACAGCTGCCAGTTCACTTGATGATAAAACAAACATTACGAGAAAGATACACAGACAAAACACTACCCCACAAATGATAATTAACCTGACCAAAATCAATTTAAATTTAGATTTAAAAAAGTGAGCAATTCTATTTGTGTGTCACTGTGTATCAGTGATGTATTCATTTCCTAACATTAGCTGTATGCACACATTGTTCAACCTATTTTCTGTTGTACGACTAGCTTAAATACATCAGCATTTCAGTACTCTTTAAACATGATGTGCAAATATAATTCCCTATATCTGTAAATTGTTACTATAGTTACAGCAAGTAGACTACAAAAACCAATTCACCAGTTGCGAAACAATACAAGAGTACGGAGGATGTGAAAAAGGTGATAAAAAGTTTTAAACAACACAGCAGGCCAGGCAGCATCAGAGGGGCAGGAAAGCTGTCGTTTCAGGTTGGCACCCTTCTTCAGAAAGTTCTTCTGATTTTCTGAAGGGTTCAGACCTGAAACGTCAGCTTTCCTGCTCTTCTGATGCTGCCTGGCCTGCTGTGTTCCTCCTGCTCCACACTGTTTTATCTGACTCCAGCATTAGCAGTTCTTACTATCTCTAATAAAAGGCTTTGTTTTTATTAGTTTCGAGATTGTAGGTTTCACCTAATGCTTGGAGGACCAGTGAATAACAAACTTTAACCTCTTTTTAGGTATAAATTATTCTGTACTTCAGAGACTTCTGTCCAAAGCTTTCCTCCACTGTTAAACCCAACTGCTTTCTGCTTTTCTGAAGGGTCCCAACCCAAAACGTCAGCTTTCCTGCTCCTCTGATGCTGCCTGGCCTGCTGCGTTCCTCCAGCTCCACATTCTGTTATCTCGGACTCCAGTATCGGCAGTTCCTACTATCTCTGCCTTCTCACTTTCACTGGGAGTCACGTCCCTCTAGGTTCAGCAGTTCCCGGAACTCCGCTCTTCACCATGGTCTGAGTAAACTTTGGGAAATTGCTTTGATCAATATTTTCTCATGTTGCTTCAAATTTTTAAAAAGTGATGGCTCAAGATCCTTCGTGGAACACACTCATAACAGGATTATAGAATTGCTTCAGCACAGGAAGCCAAGTTAACCAATTAGCTTTGCAGGGATCTGGCAAAGATGCAACTCAAGTCCTGCCCTTCCCTTGCAAATCTTTCACTCCTTAGGTGTTTATCTCATCTCCTTATCAAAGCCCTAACTGTATCTGCCTCTAACACATTCAGACAATAAATTTCAGATTGTAACCAGTCACTGCTTTAAAAACATCTTGTATTGCCAATCATCTTAAATTGGTGTCCCCCTAGTTCTGTCAATAGACAGTTTCTAAGAAAATCTACCTCAACTTTGCCAATTTATCCATATCACCAAGGTCCTCTGAACTTCCTCCTAAAGAGATCAACCGCAAAGTAGTTTTAAAATTGTTGGTTGCAGGAGGAAGAAAAAAAGAATTTTCTGAGATTTCCTTTTTTGTTAATGTTAAGTGTTTACCCAGACAATGCAGTTATAGACAATTGATTCTACTTGATAGTAAGTCTACACTGATTCAATCCACAAAATTACCAAACTAATGTTTGTGTTACAAATTTGTCTTTTATCAAAATATTGACTAACCAATCAGTATGAATCCCAGACCAATGAAGAATGTGAGAACATATCCACGTAATGGTTCATTGTTCTTCCCATAACCAACTGAAAACACGTGAAGACCAGGATATATATTATCCTTACACAAAGCCTAGAGGAAAAAATATTTATTACTGTAGACCAGGTACATAAAAATATAATAACTAAAAGACAAACAGAAGTTTTTGAAATCCTTTTTTCCCCTAAAGCATATGAACACGTTTCCTGAGGGAACTGAGCTACATGTGACAATTTAACTTCTATCAATACATTCATAAGGCAGCATTTCAATGATGTCCTAAAATTTCAATTATCTAGATTGCTGCAAACAGAATGTCTGAGATTTTGGAAACTTATTAATTCAGATTGGATTTAATAGTAGGCTGGGTTAAAAAAGAACTACTTATAATTAAAAGTACTTCTGCTTCTTTGCAACGTCCGTATAATTAAAGTGACGTATATCTAAACACAAAACATGTCGTGTTAGAGCCGGCTCTGGGCAATGTAACAGGACAAGTAATAAAATGTAAAAATAACATTTGAGAAACAGTGACCATAAGGCATTTAGGCTCACATTGTAAAGACAGGAGAGCCACACACACACAGACAGTGAGGGACAGTCTAAAGGTAAATGCACTGCACTGAGATCAGTTGACGTAAAAGTAATTGAAAAGAAACAGTCAAGGTTAATCAGTTGTGAAAATAGCCAAGTACAAGCAATACTGAAGTCTAAAATGGATAAGATTACAGATAAAAGATTGCAATTAGGAATAAGATGGGTGTGTCAAAGGCAAGGTCTTGCACAAAGGGAGTTCAGAGTAAAAATTATTCTGAAAAAGCAGAAATAAAGCTACCTCAATTATGCTTGAAGGATGATCGTTGTGCAAGGTCAATTGCTCAACAGTTTAATGGGAAAGTCAAGATATCAAACAACCAAAAAACATTGTCGTCTTAATTTAAAAGTGATACAAGCCTCAAATACAATGCTTTTTTATTATCTTATTTCATACTTAATTTTACGCAGTTTATGGTTCAGATTTTATGCTAACAGTCATCTATATGCCTCATTGTGTCAATTGAAAGACATAAATAAAAGGTTTTGCCACAGGTACAAAGCGGGCACTGAATCAAATGTTCAGGTTGGCAAGCACAAACTCTGAAATGAGCAACACAGTCACTTTGCTTCCTCGTTAATCAGCACTGGGCTGCTCCCTGATATAAACATTTGCCTTTCCAGCTAATGTACAACTAATCAAGATGGAGCTGGACGTGGCTCTTGTGGCTAAAGGGATCAAAGGATATGGGGAGAAAGTGGGAGTGGGATACCATATTGAATGGTACAGGTTCGAAGGGCCAAATGGCCTATTCCTGCACCTATTTTCTATGTTTCGAAATGAGGCAGAAATTTTTGTTCTCTTACCTTTCTCTGCTCTCACTTGTGAGTACTGGTGTGTGGTATTAGCTTTCTGTCTGAATATCCTCTTATTGCTGTTACAATATGTTTTTGTACACAAGTTTATTACTCAAAAATAAACGTAAAAAATCCTAAAATTGTATGGCTTCTCACTGCAACATGTAAAAATTCTTCAGTTATGAGAGAAATTTAAAACCAAGCTTTTATTGAAAAGTCATTGTTCTCAGCAAGATTATTTAGGATGTTTATGAAGTGTGCCCTGAGAATATTCATTAAACATTGGTACCGACTCAGATATTTAAAGCACTGAATGAAGCCATTTGGCCCACCGTGGCTACCCCAATTCTAATTTCCAGCTTTTGACCCATAGCCCTGGAGGGTATAGCAACACAAGTGAATACCTAAATACTGCGTAAAATGTTACAGTTTCTGACTCAAACACCGCTTTAAGCAGTGAGTCCCAAACTGCCAACATCTATGCCTCTTGTTCACTGACCCCCTAAAGGGTAAAGTGCCTTCCCATCCACCCAAACCTTATGTCCCTCAATCTTACGCTGGTTGAATTAATTAGTTGAGAATAGCCTTAGGTTAAATCCACAAATGAACACTTAAATTTATCAGGAGCAATCAAATAAAGTTAACAAGCGAAAATGAACATGGAACAATCACCGAACATTTGGAGTGGTGTACTTACCTGGAATATTTTGGGAGCGCTCACTAATGAGGCCAGAGCAGAAGAAAGCGTAGCTGAAAAGATTCCTGCAGTAATCAAAGGCCCAAATCCAGATATTAGGCTCATGACCTAAAAAAAAAAATCCAGGTTAATCTACAGTTAGATTACACTCTAATGTTAACCTTTTTCTGGTTTTCTTTTCAGGGTAAGTGTTAGGTTAGTTGAAACATGGTTTCAATGTTCTAGATGCATTTGAACCAACTAAAACCACTCTCATATGCCACAATATGGAAACTGACATGAAAGAAACGAGGTGTCGAGGGGTCTTAAGCGAAAACATTTTAACACACATACTATATGATATTTTTTAAAGTTACAAAAAAATGTTTATGGAAAACCTCAGCAGGTCCAGCAGCATCTGGTGAGAAACTGTGAAGGCATGGAGTCCAATATGACTTCTCTTTGGATCGATGTAATGATTTGTTCAGCACTAAAAATAGTATAAACCCTTCCTAAAGGATCAGGAACCAAATTAATCTCAGAAATAAATGAGCAATGCTTGGCTTTGAGTGCCCCACAACCAAAAGGTGGAGAACAACAAACTCAAGTTTCTTATTCAAGAAGCATAAATTCCACAATTCTCCAGTTTTAACTGCTTTGGGTCAGGACCAATTAAGTAAATATTCATTTACTTCAGGCCTCAGTGGTCTGGGAACAGCTATCCATTTTTAAAAAAAAGTCAATGATCATGTCATATACAAATTTCAAAGCTAAGGCTTTAAAAATTGACTGGGTTGCTACTGAAATACTCTGATAATAGTTGAATACCATTAAAAGTCCTTGCAGACCATCTGACATCAAGTAATTTAATGTTTCAAATTTATTTTTAGTTTCTAATTATTAATTAGAGATGCATGAAAACAATGATATGCACAAATTTCCACACCTTAATGGACACCAACTGGTAAGTAAACAAAATTGAGATTGAATAAATTAAAATGAAGCAACGTTCATTAATCCTATGAAACAAGGTTCCTTTGTGTATCCAGAAAACTGCACCATGAAGTAACAAGCAGTGAATATGATCAATCTCTCACCTTGAACAATTCCACAAAACTCAAGACAAAGTACATTGACATTCTTTACTCATTCATGGGACGTGGATGTGTCTCGCCAGGCCAGTATCTGTTGTCCATCCCTAATTGCCTCGAGGGCAGTTGAGAGTCAACCACATTGCTATGGCTCTGGAGTCACACATAGGCCAGACTAGGTAAGAGTAACAGATTTCTTTCCAGAAGGGCATTAGTGAACCAGATCGGTTTTCATCCAATCACAATGGATTTATGGTCACCATTAGAATCTCGATCCCAGATTTTGTTTTTTTCATTGATTTCAAATTTTATCGTCTGCTATGGTGGTGGGTATTTGAACCTGGGTCCTCAAAACATTACCTGCGTCTCTGGATCAATGGTCTAGAAATGAAACCCCAAGGTCACCGCCTTCCCTAATGTTGATGGACCCCTACATGTAGGCTTCTTTGTTTTTACTTTCAATTCATTCACAGGATATGGGCATCAATGTCTGGGCCAGCCTTTATTGTCCATCCCAAGTTGTTCTCGAGAAGGTGGTGGTGGAGTTGCCTCCTTGAGCCGCTGCTGTCCGTGTGTTGCAGGTAGACCCATGATGCCATTTGGGAGGGAATTCCAGGATTTTGACTCCGTGATACTGAAGGAACAGTGTTATATTTCCAAGTCAGGATGGTCAGATGGTGTGTGGGGGTGGGGCGCGGGGAGCGCTTGCACATCGTTGTACTCCCATGTCTCCACTACCATTGCCCTTCTAGGTGGTAGTGGTTGTGAATTTTGAAGGTGCTGTCTCTGAAGACTTGGTGAATTTCTGTAGTGCATTTTGGAAATGGTGAGTGTCAGCGGAGGAGGCAGCGAATGTTTGTCAATGTGGTGCCAATCAGCAGGCTTTGTGCTGGATGGTATCAAGCTTCGAGTTGTCAAAGAAGCACCCATCCTGGCAAGTGGGGAGTATTCCATCACACTCCTGATTTGTGCCTTGTTGTAGATACTGAACAGCCTTTGGGGAGTCAAGTGGAGAGTTACTCTGGCTACAAGAGCAGATGGGAGGCTGTGAATCCTTCAGTGTTTAAAAGGGGAGTCTAGTTGAGTTTTTGTTAGATCACAGAATCCCTACAGTGTGGAAACAGGCTCTTCAGCCCAACAAGTCCACACTGTCCCTCAAATCATCCCACCCAGACCCATCCCCCTATAACCCACCTCATCTACACATCCCTGAACACTACAGGCAATTTCCCATGGCCAATCCACCTAGCCTGCACATCTTTGGACTGTGGGAGGAAACCGGAACACCCAGAGGAAACACACAGAGACAGACAGTTGCCCGAGGGTGGAACTGAACCCAGGTCCCTGGTGCTGTGAGGCAGCGGTGCTAACCACTGAGCAACCACGCCGCCCCATGTTACATACATGGGTAATAGTAATCTCCAGGACATTGAATGTAGGGGATAAAAAAGTGGTAGGAGTGCCATTGAACGTCAAGGGGTGATTGGTGAATTGTCTAGTTGAAGATGGCCTTGACTGGCACTTGTGGCACAAACGTTCCTTGCCACTTGTCAGCTCAACCAGCATCTTGCTGCATTTGAACATTGACTGCTTCACTATCCGAGTCACTGGTGAATACACATGCCACTTCAGACCTTATGATGGAGTGAGCAACCATCATCTTTATCAAAACGTTGGCAATGTACTGCCACTGAATTTGAGCTTTGCTCAGTTCTCTTCAAATTGAACAGTACTTTTCAGAAGAAAATTCTCTCATTTAAATAGAAATTGTGCTTTGTTTCCAAGTTTAAAAAAAGCACATGGAGTGAGAGAGATAGTGGATGAGTTAGTGTCTCACTAACTTAATTGAGTTTTTTGAAGTATTCATGAGGAGCACCAATGAAGGTAGAGTAATGAATGATCTATACAGGCTTCAGCAAGGCGTTTGACAAGGAGTTCCTCACAGTAGACTGGTTAGCAAGGTTAGATCACATGGAATACAGGAAGAGCTAGCCGTTTGGATTCAGAATTGGCTCAAAAGGTAGGAGACAGAGCGTGGTGGTGGAGGGTTACTTTTCAGACTGGAGGCCTGTGACCAGCGGTGTGCCACAAGGATCAGTGCTGGGTCCACTGTTTTTTGTCATTTATACAAATGATTTGGATGTGAACATAGGGAGGTATAGTTAGTACGTTTGCAAATGACACCAAAATTGGTGGTCTAGTGGACAGCGATAAGGATATGGGCCAATGGATTGAGTGGCAGATGGAGTTTAATTTAGATAAATGTGAGGTGCTGCATTTTGGAAAGGCAAATCAGGGCAGGATTTATACACTTCATGGTAAGGTCCTGGGGAGCGTTGATGAACAAAGAAACCTTGGAGTGCAGGTTCACAGTTCCTTGAAAAGAGTTTCAGGCAGACAGGACAGTGAAGGTGGTGTTTGGCATGCATGCCTTTATTGGTCAGTGCACTGAATATAATGAGTTGGGAGGTCATGTTACGGTTGTACAGGACATTGGTTAGGCCACTATTGGAATAGTGCGTGCAATTCTGGTCACCCTGCTCTTGGAAGGATGTTGTGAAACTTGCAAGGGTTCAGAAAAGATTTATAAGGATGTTGTCAGGGTTGGAGGGTTTGAGCTATAGGGAGAGGCTGAATAGCCTGGGGCTATTTTCCCTGGAGTATTGGAAGCTGATGAGTGACCTTATGGAAGTTTATAAAATCATGAGGTGCCTGGATAGGGGAAATAGCCAAGGTCTTTTCCCCAGGGCAGCAGAGTCAAAAAATAGACAGCATAAGTTTAAAGGGGAGAGAGGGAAAAGATTTAAAAAGGGACCCAAGAAGCAACTTTTTCACACGGAGGGTGGTGCGTGTATGGAATGAGCTGACAGAGGAAGTGGAGGCGGCTGGTACAACAACAATATTTAAAAGGCGTCAAGATGGGTATATGAATAGGAAGAGTTTAAGAGGGATATGGGCCCAATGCTGGCAAATGGGACTGGATTAATTTAGGGTATCTGGTCAGCATGGACAAGTTGGACCGAAGGACAAGTTTCCATGCTGTACAGCTGTGTGACTCTAGGCACACTTTCCAATTTCAAGCACTAAAAGGGGAGACTCTAATCAAAATAGCTTCCCACATCTGTTCAACATGTTCATGCATTTCTTTCTTGAGAGCAAGTAAGTTCTTCAAGCTGCCCAGCCCTGAAAAGATTGCATTGCCTAAATCTCAGTGCACAAGTGAAGAAATCTTATCTAGAAAGGACCTGGGGCAGGGATAGCCCCAGTTGCAGTGCTGGAGACAGAGCTGCTCTGCAACAGCCTGGGAAAAGCACACTGTATTAGCAGCCTATCTGGTAGTTAAGCGGTCACCAGCTACTTTTGCTTTCAGGAAAGGAATGCAGGAAAATGTTTAATATATGCAAAGAAGCTCTTCCGATTTGAAACCGCCTCCTTCCAGTGATTGAAAAAGGACCATGCATCTTTCCCCCTCTCCATGCACATTTTACTTTAATTCAGGAAACATTGCGTGCATGAAATAAAGAACTCCTTATGCAATATGGTCCACCTATTGAGAAGTACCAGCCAAATTAGACACGGGACTCCTTTAGCTCAGTAATGTCACAACAGACTCTGACTGCTGCAGGAAATATGCTCCCCAGATTGCTCAGCAGAAGACGTTGGATTCCAAGGATTGCAAGACAGGAACATTTTAAAAAAAAAAACTTTTGTTTTTACTTCCAGGTTTGTCCTTTCTGTCTCCATTAAGTAACTGAAAGGAGAAAATACTATTTTTCTTAGCCTCACTGGTTTGGACTTTTCAGAATGGGTCAATATTGTCACAGAGGCTCCCCCACAAGGACTACAATGTAATAGCAATTACATTATTCCCATAACTTGCGGCATTGCGCTACATATCACTGATTAGGAAGGCCACAAAGTAAAGAAAAGGTGAGTAACTGATATGCTGGCAGCATGAAGTTTTTTTTTTTAAGAAAAATTACAACCAAATAATGAGAAACCAATTTGAAGCTTTCTTTGGTTTTATCTTCGAGTTTA